TGGTTAATGAATAATTAGACTCACCTGTAGTTGAATTCTTATTAATTAGAATTTTGTTTTGCTCCTAAGACTTTCATTGGGTGTATTCATTTTTGCAACATCATCTTGAATGAATTTGTTAGGAAAAACACTCTTTTTGTGTGTGCAAATTAACAAATCTTGTTTGAAATCAATGGCCCACATTTGTGGGAGTATTTTGTAGTATAGTGTACCATAGAAAATGTTGATTCAGAAAGGAAAGGAAATATTTTCTGACAAATCTGTTGGGGTGTACTCATTTATGCTGAGCACTGTATATACAGTATATATATATATATATATATATATATATATATATATATATATATATACACACTGTTTGCCATGAAAGAAGGCTCTTGTAGTCTTTAACAGGTCTGTGTGGTACTTTTTATTTATTTATTTTTTTTTTAAATTTAAATATTTATTAGTTTTTCATTTTTTTACAAAAAAATTCCATAAGAAGAGATAACAATACATATAAATATTCCATACATTTCTACCTTGCCCCTTCTAATAAATCTTTTCTTTCCCTCCCCTCCCAACCCTGTGTGGTACTTTTTACTTAGACATTGGTTTATTATTGTGTATTGCCCTTTCTGGATATAGTTAAGTTGTTAATTGTACATTACCTGAATCTGATTACACATTCAAACTGAAATTGTGGTAATAGCCACACATTTTAAGATCACACTCAAGATTACATTTTTTCTTTTGTAAATTTTAAAGTGAAACCAAACTAAAAAAGTCAACAAAGGTTGTACTCTAATGAACATCCACGTTTTGCCTTGAATTCCTGCTAAAATTAACAGTGCTCTTTCTGTGCTTGTCACTCCTGTGCCTTGAGCTCTATACTGTAGGTGTATGGGGTAATCTAAGACTGTGCTTCTGACTGTTAGGTCTCTTTCACATGGGGCAGATTCCATTGCAATCAACAGGGGAAGAGGTCCTCTACTAATCAGAGTAGTTTCTGCAGAGTGAAGATGGACAGAGCCTGCGCTGCTCTATGGGCATTCAGAAGTCAACGGACTCCACTGTTTGTTTACAACCAACTACCTCAGATCTGCTCTGCCTAAATGGAAGAGGACGGTGTAACAAACTAGGTCATCAGAGCTGGAAGCGGAGTTCTTCTTTTTCTTGTTCTTTTCTGTTATTTGAGATATTCCTTGATCACTCCTCACATCCCCCCTTTCCAGTCCTGAGAGGCAAACGTTATTTCCTGACAGATGGTGTAGGTCAACCGGGGTAAGACATCCCTGGTAGTGCCAGTGGTCTGGGAAAACTGTCACCTTTCTCACCTACGTCTGATAAGGCAGCATTTCTCAGAGGGCTGGGAAGCATTGACCCAAAACGGCGTAAGCCCACACATTATCAAACTGACCAGAGTAATTGCATATTCCTCAGGTCAACTGTATGTTTCATGTCATGTATTATGAAGCTGTAGTTAATACAGAGTTTCCCACTGACCACTCCCAAAACGTGTAGTCAGAGCCCCCCCTTTGAGAGGGACTTTTAAGAAGAGACAAGTGAGTTAGAGTTTGTCACACACAGAGATCTCCCAGCAACATCGTAACAAAAGGAGATCAAGAAATCACCCTGCTCTATAACTTGGATCTGCAAACCCAGGCATATGGGGAAGTAACTTAACCCTGTAATCTTCTTCCTAATTATCTCTTTGCTGTGTCTTTTTATATACATATATATATATTTTTGTGACATCTCTTTGTAAATATTGTATCGCACCTGTTTGACACTTTTAGTAGTAAATCTTTCTTTCTGAAAGTGTTAAACTGTTTCTAAGCGCTTATTTGCAATTCACGAATCCCTGCCTTTGAAGAGACGCTACTGTTTGGTATATCTCTGTATAACAGGTCCGCGGCCGTGCTATATAGATCAATATTTCAATCATTATAGTGTATATCTGATAACAGGAGTTTCCCAGTCTCCGACAAAAGTGGTGGTGGCAGTAGAGGGTTAGTTGCGTAATTAACCCGACCCAGTAACAAGCGCATTTAGGCTGCAGGCACTGATTGTAGTCCATTAGCTGGGCAATCGCTGTGCTGGGTGCAGCTGAGTGTGGCCTTGTTACGCGCGTCACACCGCGGTTTTAGATTGGCTGGTCCTTCGGTCACGAGTTTGGTGAGAAGGTCTGGGGTCTGACGCCATGGGCGTGACGTATTACTGTTAGTCGCGGTCGTGCGATTGTCGCATGTTGGTGGCGGCGATCGTGGATCCGTGACAGATGGGGTCCCCTTCTATTTTTACTAGCTGTACCGAAGGTAGGTGGCTGTAAAGGGACACAAGTCTGTTTACACCTGCTTGTCCATAAGGGTGAATGTATCTTCTAATCAGGTCCACCTAAAAAACTGACAGACAGACCTGTTTGAAACACCTGTGTGAAAAGGGCCTTACTCTCTTGAGATTTGCAGAGATTTGGTAATGTCAAATCATTGCTGCTCACTGTTATCCCTGCTGGAAATAAATATATAACTGAGGACCTGAAGTGCAAGAATCTTTCATCTTTTGCTGCATTAAGATAGGTTCACACTGCTGCAATCCAATTTTGATTTGACTTTCATCGAGATTATATAGGGCAGCTTGGAAGCTATTTGATGCTACTTTGAGGTGAATCACACTGGAATCATGCCAAAGGAATACAGGAACCAATTCCAAAATCATGCCGTACTGAGTTGCATTTAAAACATTGGGATTTCATGCGACTCAAGTTACATCTGAAATTGCACTAGTGTGAACAAAGCCTTAATTCTTTGGTTTGGTGCCTTCTCTGCCTCTTTTGCTGCATCCTTATCATTAACCCATCCATCATTAGATCACAAGTCAACAGGGGGATGTTGTGACATGAGACAGCCAGGCCCTGTTCCTTTACCAAGATGGCCACCACCAAGCACAGGGACAGTGTGGGACACAGTAATGTAAGGAGGAACAGATCATCTGCAAATGCACTACATAAAATACTGATGACTAATCCTTTGTCTGACATGTTTGGTCAAAGCTTCCATAGTTCAGATTCTCTAAAGGAAAAGCAAATATGCATGAAAGCATATGTTCACCTTTGGAACATGTTATATGTTCTACCTATTTTTAGGGTGGAACATGTAACATTTTCCAGCTCCTGCATTTTCTCCCCTGATCTGTGACAGTGTTTGGGGGATCTTCTCCCCATACCCGTTGTCACAATTTAAAAAGAGCGCAACTGTGTGGGGCTCTGCCCACATGGCTGCATCACTCACAGAGTTCTGTGAATGTGTGAACTACAACTACCATTATTCACCACGGTTGACAGCTTGTAGTTCTTAGGATATTTATAGGTAGAGTTGATCCAGGAAATATCCAATTTCCTCTCTGGGGATCAGGAAGAAATATATTCACCTGCAGGAGCAAATTGGATCATGTTTTGCTGGTTTTTTTGCCTTCCTCTGGATCAATTGTGGGTATAGGATTATAACTTTTTTTTCTTTTTTTTTGGTTGAACTGGATGAACTTTTGTCTTTTTTTTTCAGCCAGACTAACTAACTGTCAGGAATGGACTTGCCAATAATGGTGGGACTCACCTGCCTTGTGGGCTGCAGTACCAGGGCTGGCCAGCGGGTGCTCTCAGCAATCAGAGACTCACCCTGCAGTCAGCCAAAACACCTGAGGCTGATTGCAGGTGTATTTAAGGGATGGCCAGACCTGCAGTCTGTGCCTTGGTGTGTGTTTTTCCATGGGCCCCTGTATCTTGTTACCTGCATTCCTGTTCCTGTTCCTGTCTGACTGATTTGTTGCCGACCCTGCCTGATCCGCACCTCTGCTGACTTCTCCTGTTTGATCCCTGGCTTGTGACCCCGGCCATTCTCTGCCTGACCCCCTGTACCTACCTGCCTGTTAGTTGCTGTACCCGGCTCGTGACCTGACTACTCTCTGCCTGCTCCTCCTGTTCCTACCTGCCTGATTGTTATTGACCCAGCCTGCCTGACTCGCTTACATTGTATGTATTGTTATCTGTGGGTGGTTTGGTTTGGTTCGTTTGCACTGTGTTATGTTTTCGTATTACACTGCGTTTATGTATTGTTAGTATTAATAAATTATATTGTTTATAACATATCTGAAGCCTGCGTTTCCCTGCGTCAGTCACATACCTCTGGTCTTACCCGGAGCCCTGACATTACACCAAGGCCAATCCTGACCAGAAGTGGCTGCACAGGGAAGCCATCTTGGCTTGTTGCTGGGAAGGAAGGATGGATCTTGATGAGGTTGTGTATTTGTCGCTGCTGGTTTTTGATGACAGAGAATATGCTTATCAGACTCTGAGGGAGTATACCCGGGATCAACTGCTAGAATGTATACGGATCGCTCATGTTCTAGTAGATCAGGGCACAGAGTTCTCTAAGGTGCAACCTTTGATTCAGGTTTGTGTAGAGTTGGCTTCATCTGGTACCTCTGAAAGCAGGAATGACTTTTTGCCACCATTTAGTGCAGACCAGGTAGAGTCCCTGGTATGGTTATTAGAGGATGATGTGGATTGCTTCTTGGAGCATTATGCTGCATGTTCACCACAGGTATTAAGGGATTGTATAAACGCAGTGCAGTCATTGACCAGACAGGCTTTGTGTAAGCTGAGCTTTGTTCAACCCATACTGCAGACATGGTCAGACTTGTTGCACCCAGCCTCAGTCAGCTTACAACGTCATTCCTCCGCTCAAGGCACTCTTCCTACATCCCCGACAGCACCCCCAGTACGGCCCAGTATACTCTGCTAACTACCACATACCAGTCCTCTGCTCCCACTCGCTGCACCTATCCTTTCTGTAAAGAAGTCCTCTGTAGCAACTGCTCCCTCCTCTGTTCCATCTTCCAGCTCTTCTCTGTCCTCAGCTGCTCCATTCATTTGCAGACCTGCGTTTACTTGCAGTGCTCCAGTAGTTAAAACCAGAAAAAAGCGAAAATTCTTTCCAACCAGTACCATCCTGCCAGTATCCAAACCGGTGAGCCTGCCGTCTGAGAACCTGCCTTCCGTGGTTCAGCCTGGTGCCTCAGCGCCCACAATTCAGCCTGATGTCTTTACCCAGCCTGATGCCTCTACCCAGCCTGATGAACTGATCCAGCCTGATGATCCTATTATGCCAGGTGACTCGGTGCCCACTGTCTTGCCAGATGACTTGGTGCCCGCAGTCGAGCCAGACAATCCAACGCCTGATGACCCAGTGCCCGCTGTCATGCCTGGTGACCCGATGCCCGCTGTCGAGCCAGACAATCCAATGCCTGATGACCCAGTGTCCGCTGTCATGCCTGGTAACCCGATGCCCGCTGTCGAGCCAGACGATCCAATGCCTGATGACCCAGTGCCCGCTGTCATGCCTGGTGACCCGATGCCCGCTGTCGAGCCAGACAATCCAATGCCTGATGACCCAGTGCCCGCTGTCATGCCTGGTGACCCAATGCCCGCTGTCGAGCCAGACGATCCGGTACCTGATGACCCGGTGCCCGCTGTCGTGCCAATTGACTCAGAGCCCACTGTCGTGCCTGGTGACTCGGTGCCCACTGCCTTGCCAGATGACGTGATGCCCGCTGTCGAGCCAGACGATCCAATGCCTGATGACCCAGTGCCCGCTGTCATGCCTGGTGACCCGATGCCCACTGTCGAGCCAGACGATCCAACGCCAGATGACCCGGTGCCCGCTGTCGATCCAGACGATCCGGTACCTGATGACCCGGTGCCCGCTGTCATGCCTGGTGACCCGATGCCCGCTGTCGATCCAGACGATCCAGTACCTGATGACCCAGTGCCTGCTGTCATGCCTGGTGACCCGATGCCCGCTGTCGAGCCAAATGACCTGATGCCTGGTGACCCGACGCCCGCTGTCGAGCCAGGCGATCCGGTGTCTGACCCAGTGCCCGCGGTCATGCCAGTTGACTCGGAGCCCACTGCCGGGCCTGGTGACTCGGTGCCCACTGCCTTGCCAGATGACGTGGTGCCCGTTGGCGAGCCAAATGACCTGATGCCTGGTGACCCAGTGCCCGCTGTCATACCTGGTGACCCGATGCCCGCTGTCGAGCCAGACAATCCAATGCCTGATGACCCAGTGCCCGCTGTCATGCCTGGTGACCCGATGCCTGCTGTCGAGCCAGACAATCCAATGCCTGATGACCCAGTGCCCGCTGTCATGCCTGGTGACCCGATGCCCGCTGTCGAGCCAGACGATCTAGCGCCAGATGACCCGGTGCCTGCTGTCGAGCCAGACGATCCGGTACCTGATGACCCGGTGCCCGCTGTCGTGCCAATTGACTCAGAACCCACTGCCGTGCCTGGTGACTCGGTGCCCACTGCCTTGCCAGATGACGCGGTGCCCGCTGTTGAGCCAAATGACCTGATGCCTGGTGACCCGATGCCCGCTGTCGAGCCAGACGATCCAATGTCTGACCCAATGCCCGCAGTCATGCCAGTTGACTCGGAACCCACTGTCGTGCCTGATGACCCGGTGCCCGCCGCTCCGCCTGGGGGCCCGGTGCCTGCCACCCCTCCTGGGGGCCCGGAGCCTGCCGCCCCGCCTGGGGGCCTGGCGCCCGCCGCTCCGCCTGGGGGCCCGATGCCTGCCACTCCGCCCGGGGGCCCGGAATCTGCAGAATACTGGCATTGCACCCACAATCCGCTGATTGCAGGTGCAAAGCTTTACAGGCTGCAGAGTAAAAAAATAATAAATGCAGCTTTTTACCTGCAAAAAAGATGTTCATTTATTATTTTGTTTTATAAAAGGGAACTTATCCTTTAATAATATTCCTTTATAACTTTTTATTTCAATTGACATATATGAATCTTTGCAGTCACAGTAATTGTAGTTCTTAGATGTATTACAGTAAAGGTCATCTTTAGTGGCCTATACTGTATCCTGTTAGGTCTGTACAAACTAGTTGATACTTAATGGAAGCCTTCTTTTTAGGTTATGCCTATATTTTTTCACTGATGTAAAAATATTTACAAATGTAGGCAATGATGTTAAACTTTGCATTCCAATTTACAGATACACAACATCTGAATCATTCCAACAAAAGTTTTCATTTGAGAGACAATCCACTGATCCCTATCTATATTTTTCTTCTAATGATAAAACATAAAGTAACTGTCATTCTTGGTTCAAGATGAAAGAGGAAGTTAAAAAAGCTGCTGTCTTCAAGAAGATTTGAGATTTTTCTTAAAATATTTCTGACAAGTAGGATATGGTCACGTCTTTTTCAGTGTTCTGCTGGCAACACAAAGCTACATAGCTCGCAGCACAAAGGAATAAGGTGAAAGAGCATGGGTATCAGGGAAAGTTAAAATAATAAAAAAAAGGAAAGATGGCTTTAGATCTTGCCTTTTTGAGTATGTTATATCCTCCAACCACAGAGATTCAAAATAAATGAAACCGATAAAGAGACAGTCTAACTGAAAGATAAAACAACAAGTAATTCAAATAACTGGCTTTTTCGTTCTCCTTAATGTGCATACAAGTTGACAGGAGGCCTTTATTTACAAGTGTCTGGAGATTTTAAGCATTTTTACTACATGCCATTTAACTACATGATAAAGACAAACAAAAAGACCTGTGTTGACTCACTTAAAGCTGATCTACAAGTTTTAGTGAAGTTTAAATTATTCATTTGGACTAAACTGGTCCAAATAAACTATTTACTTCACTAATAGATGCAGCTGCTGTGTGTGCTGTATTAAAGCAAAGTTCCAGTCAATTTTGTATTTATTAAAAGTCAGCAGCTACAAAAACTGTAGCTGCGGACTTTTAGCCCTGGTTCACATATATGGGGCCATGCGAGCTGTGTTTTGCGTGGGCATGAGAGCCCATTCATTTGAATGGACTCCTGTGCCCCATGAAACGCAGGGAAGATGTCCCTGCACTTCTTCTGAAAATGCAGCCTGCATGGGAACCTCGGTTCCCAGAACAGTTGCGTTTTGCAGTGCGGGCGGCATGCCATTAGAACTAGATCCGCAGTTGCACCACCAACTCATATGTGAACCTAGCCTTAATAAACACACGCTCACCTGTCCCAGGGTCCAGCGATGTGCTCACCTACGCCGTCCCTTCTCTACTTCTTCTCTCCCCAGCGCTGGCATCACAACTGTGGTCAGAAGGCTGTGACAGCTTGTGGCTTCATTGCGCATGCAGATCTAATTGATCTGGCAGTCTTCTGGGACCTGTGAAGGCTCCCAGGAGACTGTGGGAGGACGGAGGGGGCCGAACTTCCGGCTCACTTCGCCGCGGAGATCTGAGCCAGAAGTGGGAGCGGGTACCTGTCAAAAATGTGTATCTCTTCCCCCAAGGTGCCCCCAGTTGAGGGGGGGGCAAACAAGCTGAGCTTCCACTTTTGAGTGGAACTCTGCTTTAACTGTATGTAGGCTCAGCTACATACAGTATACAGTCCTGTGTTCTGACAGTTGGGTGGGGACTTCCCATCCAGCTCCCAGAACAAAATCCAGACAGGCTGAGCTCTGCTCAGCCATTCACAGGAAGCACTATACTTGTTGAATAAATATCCAGACAGGCTGAGCTCCGCTGACTGATTGGCTGAGATGGAGATCATGATGCCATCTGCCAGCATCTCTGCCTCAGCAAATCAAAGAAAGCTTTGTATTCATTCATGGAATACAATGCTTCCTGTAAAGGGCTGAGCCATGCTCAGCCCATTTTGACTTTGTTCTCAGAGCTGGATGGGAGGTTCCCATCCTGCTGCTGGAAAACAGCGCTGTATACTGTATGTAGCTAAGGTTACATACAGTTTCTAAAGTGCACACAGCAGATGCATCTGATAGTGAAGTAAATAGTTCTTTTGGACCAGCCTGGTCACTAAAATCTATAGATCAACTTTAAAGAGAAGATCTCACAAAGGAAATGATTTTGAGAGAAGGTTCTGATGAAAGCTGCTATTCCTTGACACCTCCTGCATACTTTTTGTGGAGTCAGTAAAAGTGAACATGAATTCAAAAAGTGAAGCGTTGCTATACTATAGTGAACATTTAGAAATGTTAATTGTGCTTAAAGTGTAACTTTTGTAATAAATAAAAATGAGCGAACAGTCAGGATGTTTAATGCAGAAGAGACATGCTTTGTCTTTTCTGCATTTAAATTACAGACCTGCATGTCCGCCCCTGTACACTGGAGCTGCTCACCAGTGATTTTGGAAAATATCAGTTGCTACAGCAATACAAATCCAAAGGGATGAAGTGACCAATGTATGGATGGATGAACCAATTTTGGTATTTTTATTTTTATGTAAAAATCTATGCTTTTGTTAAACGTGCTGCAGAACAAAATTATCGAAGAATCGTACCTGTCTGATGGAGAAATGAGACTTGATATCCGCTGTCCAATTTCCAGTGGAGAACATAAGGTAAACAATAATAGAGATGAAAAGCCAACGATGTCATACTCTGTTAACTATTTTCATTTTTCATTTCCTGATTCTTCAGACGCTCAGGCAGAGCTGTAACAACTATCAAAACTGAGAGGAGCAGCATGATACATGTTTGCACTATCATCAACACAAGGAACAGTTTATTTTACAAAATAAAATGTGTGAAAGGGGTAAGAAACACTCAAATAAATCTCCTTTTAGACAGGGATAGGGTAAGATTCTGAATTCTAATATCATATGGCCTTTAAGTTTTAGAGAAGCCAAAACCAGCTCAGTAGTTATCAGTGATAGGTGATTTAGCATGTTGGCCTGATGGCTATACCCAGGAGATTTACATAGTAGACATGCAGATGTAAAATCTTGCAACTTTCCCTCCAGTATATACAATTCACAATAAATGGAGCTGAACTCATGAGTATGCCCTTGTAGTTGGTGGGGGTGAAGCTGAGTGTGTAGCAAATGAATTAGTTCAGAATTACTGTTTAAGTTTTATAGTAATGATGGATAAACCTTAGCAACATTAGCACCTGGGAAAGAGAACAAAGAAAAGATAAAAGAGGAACAAGCTGTGCACCAGACAGAAGTACAAAAGATCTGACATGAAAAATCACACTGCTGACTATCTTTGAGCAGACGCAAAAAAAAAAGGGGAGATGAAGAACCAGCCCCCACAGTTCTCTGGAATTCTCCTCCATTACCTTAAACTGGCTTCTACACTGCAATTACTTCATCATAATATGACCCAAAGTCATGCATATCATTATTATTATTATTATACAGTATTTATATAGCGCCAGAAGGTTTGCTCAGTGCTGTACATTATAGTGGGGGACAGAACATGAGACAATACAGTAACAAAACAATACACGAGGGGTTCGAGGGCCCTGCTCTTTCGAGCTTACAATCTAGGAGATCATAAGCAATACTTGCACCACCATTTTCTCCTTGCCCAACCTTACTGTTCCCAACTCTAGATTTGCCACATGCTTCAACACCCAACTAGTTGGATGAGGAGGAATATTGCTACTCCCTGATCCATAAACATAAAAAGGTATCCAATGGGAAAAAAGACAACACCGTTTAAGAAATATTTTAAATACTATTTTAAAAATGATTAAAAAAAAACCCACATTCAATACTTTTTCATAAAAATAGAAAAAAAAAACCAAAAGCTGTCCCATTCAACTGTGGAATTTCTTCCATGTCAGTGGTTAGAACAGTCATCATTCTGAGGCTTCCAGATGCAGAATGCATTAATTTCAAACAGATTTGTGAATTATGAGATTTATGGGAGATTTTCATGCTTCAGACACTGTGACCACTTGTATTTCATCACTGCCTATGTATAACTTAAATAGATATTTAGGGCATGGAAAATGGAGCTTGGGTATCTTTCAGAATGACATGTTCTGGTGTATTAAATGCTTCCCATTTATACTTGGTTAAAAGACAGAGAATGGTGGGGCGCATGTGCAGAGCTAACCAGATCAGACATGCCTGAGTTGAGCTCCGCGTCTCAGAGATCCACACAGCTACCTACACAGCTCCTCCAGCTACCTAACCTATGGGAAAGATATGGGGAGTATCTGGGTGCATCATACGTGGCAGCAGTCAAACATAACCCAAACAAATTACAGTATTAACTGAAACAATTAAATATGTTAAGCATTTACCAGTTAGGGAAAACATAACAATCATATAATGATGAGGAACCTCAGGTAGCTGGTCAAACTAGGTTTAGCGAGTGATTTACTAAGTCATCCATTTAGGTAGGGATGGAGAAGTCACTTCCGGATGGGACTGCAAGTTGATTACTGATTCAGGGATACCACAGATACGGATGTTGGAGGGGAGGGTCATATTCTTGTAATCTTCCAAGTGTGTTTGCAAAAGGAGATTTTTTTTTCTCTTAAAGACTCAATTTCCTCAGAATGGTTAGCAGAGAGAGCCTCTAGGTCATCTACCCTTTGCTCGAGGTCTGCTGTGCATTGCCTCTAGGTTACATATCTCTCATATTAGGCAGTCAGTGATCTGGTCAAATGTTTGTTTCAGCGCTTCCTTCAGCATATGCTCAAACTGACAAAGTAGATTAGACTGAGGCTGAGCAGAGTGCAGAATTAGTGGGGTGGCTAGCAGTCCATTCTTAGACTCACCCCCTTCAGAGGTTGCCAGTGGTTTCGGCCTGAGG